GGGGCTGGGAAGAAAAGCAGAGAGAATTGCAGAGAATCAGACTCCCTTTCCAGGGCCTTTCAGCTCCCTCCAGTGGTGGCCGCCCTGTACCCCCCGACGATTCCACTGTAACTACCAATCTTCTACTTGGTTAAGACAGTTTTGTATCATTTTGCTAAAAATTATTGGCTTAAATCTGTGTAAAGAAATCTGTCTTTTTATTGTTTCTTTCTTGTCTGTTTTTGCGGTCTTACAAAAACATGTTGACTCTAGGGAATCCTGAGACAGTCGCTGGCTTGGAGTTTGTAGGAAGTGGAGTCAGGCAGGGAGAGGGTGCAGGCGGATCTCAAGGGTGTGTGTTGTGTTTGTTTTGCAGTGTTTTTGTTGTCCACTTTGGAGAGGAGATTTCTCATCAGAAGTCTGTGGTGTGTATGTGTGCATGGATGTGGTGGGACCTCTTTTACCTGGTTTTGGGGTCTCACCCTCCCTCCTATAACTGAAATGAAATGCCTGGCGTCGGGAACTCTTGAGGCCCTCAGAGAGCAGTTAGGGACTGCAGGCTGCCTCGGAGCAGGGGCGCGGTGGGTGTTACCAGGCAAAGCAATGCCTTTTCTTCCCCGGGAAGTGGGCAGGCAGCTGGAACTCTGAAGAACTTGGAAGCAGAGGCTTTGAGACCCTAGCAGGATTAGTTGGGAGTCCCAGGATTAAAGGTGGAAGATGTGTTTCTGGTCCCTCGGGAGCGGATTGTTAACCGAGAGGCGCGTGTGGTTATTTTGGTGTTTGTTGCCTTGCTGCCTTTGCACTTGATAAGTTTTCTTAACAGACTGTAAATGCTCCCGTGCCGGTTGGCACCCAATCTGTGTGTGTGCCTGTGCTCAAAACCAGCAGCGGGGCTGCCCTCTCCAGGTGCCAAGACTAGCTCAGAAAAGCCGGCGGGCCGAAGGGACTCGCCCTGAGGTGCCAAGGAGCAGGTGACTCTCCCAACCCGACCCAAAACCTCCACGTTGGGGAAGTAGGGTCTGCGCTCTTCGACCTTATGTTGGGCGCGTGTCCGTAGGAAGTGAAGCAGCGTCATGGGGCTGAGTCCCATCAGAAGGCAGGCGACCTCTGTGAGCTGGTGCTGCTCCGGGCTCACGCTGCTGTGCTCTGTGGTTCCCGGGATGCCTTCTCACCTCTCATTCCGTAGCAGTCGGGTGGTAGCCAGTGGCCGTGCACTCCTGATCCAGACACGCAGTGCAGTGTGTGTTCGCAGGCACTCCTCCATCGCCCTGTCATAGAGGACATTCCCTTTGGACTCGGGGGCCCCGAAGGTGTGCAGCTTGGTTCTTCCCTCCCTTCCCCAGAGTTCCCCGGATGCCGTAACTGGTAGGCATCCCGTAACACAGTTGTGCACTGTCCCAGCCGGCTGGCCGTCTTGTCTGAGCCCGTGGGTGCTTTCTGAATCCTAAGCTGGTTACTTCGTAAGCATTTTGGAGTGCAGGGCCTTGAGCAGGTGGGGGCTGTGTGTCTGGAAGTACAGAGGGAGGTTGGGGTGGGTCAGAGCCGAGTTAGAGATTTTCTTTGTTGCTTGATGCCTTCCTGAGGGTAGCTGTCTCCCACCCAGCAAGGCGTTGCGGCTGTGGCCTGAAGTGGCGCAAGCTTGCTTTGTAAATATCCGTGGTCCTGATGTAGTGCCAGAACATTTGTGCAAGGCAGCTCTGTGCCCGGGCTCCAGCCTGAACCTTGCTGGGTTGTGTCCTTGGAGTGTGGTAGTGACAGTCCTCGCCCAGCATCTAGTCCCCATCGTCCCGTGCAGGAAACGTAGGTAGGACGTCCGTGTCAACCTGTGCTCTGGCGACCAGTCTCCAAGCTGTGCGTTTGTATGGCCACTGTATTTGTGTACTTTAACAACTGTGTAAATAATAAATTCATAATGACTTCTACCTTTCTTCCCTGCCCTTTCCATGTGGTCTTTTATTTCATCGGCTTGAGATTTTTCCATGTGTTGAGGTAAACCATGTAAAAATCCTCTTTTGAGACAGCTGTTTGTTCTTTCTCATTCTGTTGGTCTGGGAGAGCTGCACGCTGGGCCTCCTGCTGGGCAGGGAGGGGTGGCAGCTGCTCCTCCCCGTGCCCCCCGCTCAGGCTCCGGCATGCACACAGAAGCCCACGAGAGCTCTGTGTGGTGGTTCTGGAGAGCCTCTGACCTCCACTGCCCTCAGCCACCTGCGGTGAGCGCCTGTCTGCTCCTGTCGCCAGAGAGCCATGCTGCTCCGTGAAGCCTGGGAGCTGCCCCTGATGGCCCTGCACAAACACGAAGATGCAGTTCCGTGCAGTTCCTCTCCGCCCTGCCTCCCCAGGATCTCACAGCAGTGGACCCCTTCTGAGGGGCTCAGGCTGCCGGAGCAGGGAGGTCTGCACCGATGGGTCACCACCAACTCTGTGTGGGTGAGCTCAGCTGGGCTAGGCCACCTCCCCTCCCAGCTCCTCCCGCCACCTCCACCCCACACTCTCCATTCTCCACTCCAGGCCACTCCCTTGTTCCCTTGGCCACAGCCATGCCGGCAGGCCGCGCTGCCTGAGATGAGAATATGCCTGTTTGTAGTCAAAGTGCAACAAGGACTTGAGGTGGCTTGCTTGGAGGTTGCTGGAACTAAGAATAGTGTCGCTTTCTGAGCCCCCCGTGGGTATGTGCTGAGGGGATCCCAGGGCTGTCCCGCCGACTCTGCCTGTGACATGCTCCTGCCCCAACCCGGGGGGTGCCCCTGGCCTGGAGCTCTGCCAGCCCCTCCTGCCCTGACTTTGCCTCCCCCCGGGCCCTTCCTCTTGGCCATTCTGACAGTACCCTGGACATCCTGAGCTGGATTCCCAGCCTTCCTGTCTCCAGGCTACCTCACATGCTTCCCTCTTGCTGGCACAGACTGAGATGCCATGTGGGGCCTCACTGTGGCCATGGGTGAGGCTCAGCCCCCGCCCCACTCAGTGCCATACCAGCCCCAACCAGAAAGTGGCAAGACCTGTGTTGCAGCTCCTGCCTGACCTTCCCAGACCCACCGCTTCCCCCGGGGTTTCCCTGCCCTGAGAGGGAGTAGGGGCTGCTCGTCTGCCAGGCCTGCTGGGTGGCGGCTCTGCAGCGCATCTCTCACCTGCGAGGGCCAGTGCGCACGGGTTAGAGGGTCTGTTCTCTGAACCTGAGTCTGGCTGGGTCTGTGTCCTCAGACATGGTTTAGACACTGAGAAAAGCAGGCCCTTCAGGTGCTAGGCAGCGCCTCCCCGGAGCTTCAGCACAGACCCCTCAGAAGGCAGAGGATGGCAGCATCTGGGGCCACTAGGCCCTTTTGGGGTCTCCTGTGCCCCTGTCCCCTCCCCAGCAGGGGCCCTGTACACATCTGTTCCAGGGCTGTTCTCAGGGAAGGCCCAGCCAGGCGGGCACCTCTCTTCCTCCCACTGATCTGGGGTCACATGACGATGTCTGTGCCCCCCACCCCCCACTCCACGTAGCAGTGGGTTCCGGATGGATGTGTGTCTGGTCAGGGTGTCTTCATAGCACATTAGACCTGGGCCACTTTTGGCACCAGAATCTGTCCCCAGGGTTGGGGGTAGCTCTGCCCCCAGCTTCCTCCAGTGGGCTACAGGCCTCCCTCCCCCTCGATCCCACCTGCCGGGTCAGACCAGACTGACTGCCCAGCGGGTTCTCTCCCATAAAAGCACCAGCCGAAGGAGGTGGCAGAACTCGCACCCACTCATGCCCACCCTACAGTGCAGGGACCCCAGCCCCCATGAGTCCTGTGCCCCCAGCCGAGCATGGTGACCTTTCCACATCTGGACCACTCCTGAATCACTGAGCAGCGTCCCTCAGGCACATCTCTCCGGCAGCAGCCCTGCTGGGGCTCTGCTGTGTGCTCTGGGTGTGGGGACCAGAGTGAGGCACATCAGGGGTGAGAGTTGAAATGGAGGGCCCACATCCTGCCTAGGGGAAGGTGAGGGCCCGAGATATCTGGACACAGAGGGTCCCAGGAACGGGCACCCCCTACCTGGCCCACGATCTCCCTGCCAGTTCCTTCGTAAGCCCAGGTCACACTCACAAGGCCAGCAGAACCAGGGACAGCCAGGTTCAGAGGGGGTACCCCCTTGGTCTGAGCAGCCTCCCTGGGGCTCTGACGTGGGAGGGCCGGCCAAGGAAGGCCATGTGTCCTCTGAGACCCAGGCTGCCTGCTCCCACCACCTCCTGCTCCCTTCAGCTTCTGGGTGGGGCTGGTGGACTCCAGACACATGGCCCTGGCTGTGCAGCGTTCCACCTTGATCCCTGCAGCTGCCAGCACTGCCTGGGCCCTGGTGGAGGCCTCCACAGCCCTGAGGCTACAGAGTTCCAGGGAACTCTGGGGAAGGGAGAGTTCAAGCCCAGCTGGGGCAAGGCCCGGGGCAGATGGGGGCAGCTGGGCCTGAGATGTGCACTTTCGCTTGCTTTTCATTGCAGAGGAGCAGGGATGTGGCGTCTCTCCGGCTGCACGCGGCCCGCCAGGGCACCCGCTGCCGTCCCCAGCGCCCGCGACGCACCTACTGAGGGCCCCGGCGGCCTCTGACCGGGCTCCCAGCCACGCAGGCCACTGCTGGCCACGAGGGCAGGTGGGTGTTAGGTGCTCAGGATAAGCACAAGTGCTGGGCCGGGCTGAATGGAGGATGGGGCACAAAGAGCGGCCTTGGCCACTGGGCACACTTCACTCAGCCAGGGGATGAGAAAGGGACGGCAGAAGAGTCCCGGTTCTACACACCAGTGAACAAAGTGGCCTGTTCCACCCCAGCTCCCATCTAAATACCACTTATGGGCTCCCTGGCACGTTTCAGAGACCCCCCTGGCACAGAAGCCTCCAGGCACCTGCCCTGCATCCCTCTCCACACAGTGCCTGCCCCACCACGAACACTCTGCCACTGCAGGGAAAGCTGGCGAGGACAGAGCCACTGTAGGAACCAGGCCATCAGCAGACCCAAGATTCGGGGCGCAGTCAGGCCACACAGCAAAACCACACACTCCCAGAAGACCATCCTGACACTCCACCCACACACAGGTTTATTTCCACCTTCCAGGGGTGGCAGAAGCTATCCCCAAAGACACCGAGGGGTGGGTGCAGGCCGCACGTAAGAACCCAGGGTAGGATGGGCTGGAGAGGGCCCCACACAGCACCTGCCCCACCAGCCTATCCGCAGCCCACCCTTGGATTAAAGTCATCTCATCTTGCGGCATGGGTTTCTAGGTCCTTGAGCACAATAGTGGCCGCAGGCCATTTGGGACCAGCAGGCGGGGCCCCTGTTGTGGATGCCTTGTAACCTCAAGGCTTGGCTTCACCGCAGATCCACTCTGGAATGACACAGTTCCTGCCCCGCCACCTCCCCCTGCAAAACACTGATCAGGCGACGATCTGCTAAGCTGGCAGCCAGAGCCCAGCGTGGCCCTGCCCGAGCCAGTCCTGTTTGTAAAATAAATAGCAAGCGTTGCCAGCCTCGGTACCTCCTCCCTGTGCTTGCCGGCCCCTCCCAGCCACTCAGACACTGGTTTCTGGGGTGTGAACCACCTCCCCGTTTTTCTCAGGCTCAGCCTTCAGGAAATGTTCCACTTCCCTGGAGTCCACCCCCGCATCTGCGGGGGGCTTGTGGAGATTCTCCTCCTCCGTGGCCGCTGCCTCAGGCTGTGGCTCCTTGGGCCTCTTCCTGATGCAGAAGAAGTTGCCCAGCAGCAAAATCAGGGAGGAGGTGACCACCTCGGCCCCCGCCAGGAGGAACACGTACTTGTAGACGTGGGTCGCGTCCAGGAGCTTGCCTGCAGGAAGACCCGGTCAGTCCCAGCCACTCTTGTGCAGGTGCAGCTGTCCCCGGGTGCCCAGGGCCCCACCCAAGCTGATGTCTCCTCGGTGTCTGTAGCACACACGGGCCACCCTGTGTTTCTCCCAGCTCCTGGAACCAGGAAGTGTTCTCTTCCCTCCATGTTCTAGCTGGGGGCATCCTCAGCCTCCCTCCCTCCTCCCCAGGGAAGCCAAGACTTAGAGGCTAAAAACAGCAGTGGCTTTGAGGGGAGTTTGGGCCTTGGACTCCTTGGTAGGAGTCACACTGGTCCCCAGAGCCCCCCTGACGCTTCCAGTTGGCAGCCCCAGAAGCCCTGCTGCGTTCAGCACCGGCCCTGTTTCCCGGCTACCTCGGACCCCAGGAGTCAGGTGGTGAGGCTTTGCGCCCCCCCCAAGCCCAGGACCCTCCCTTGCCAGGCAACCAGAGCCTGGGTGAGGGTGCTCCAGTCAGAACTCAGTTCCCTCAAGTGCTAGCTCAGCTAGCCTTCAAAAAGGAAAGGCCCCAAAATGCAAAAATGGGCTGTGGGTTGCCCGAAACTGCTGCCGAGACACCATCTTTGGGGCTCTACCCCCACCCCCTTTCCTTGGATTCCTCCTGCAAGCCTGTCCACAGCCCTCTAACCTGGTGGGTCCCACATGGACAACCTGCCTTTGCCTCTGATGCTGACCCATAACTAGAGGCCGGACCCTCTGCAGACAAGAGCCTGGAGGAGCTGCTCCGTCCAGCCCCTGGTCGCCCTGTCTGTGGGGGGTACGCTGTGCCGGGATGAGCCCCTAACTCCTAATGGAGACCTGCTGGCCCCGGCAGCATCAGGCTTGGCCCAGCACAGTGCACCCCCCTCCAGCTCTGAGTCCCACAGTGGGTGGCTGCCGAGGGGTGCGCATCCCTGCCTTGCAAAGCGGGCATCTGACTGGAAGGCAGGCGTGGGGAACTGCCTGAGGGCCCAGCGCTCACCTCCAGACGGGGGACCGATGAGCACGGCCACCGCCTCCATCAGCAGTACCAGGCCAATGGCGCTGGAAAACTTGTGGGTGCCCACAATGGCCATGAGCACCTCGAACTGCAGGGCCCCCACCATGCCGTAAGAGATGCCGAAGAAGATGCAGAAGACCACCAGGCCACCATAGTCCCCCGCCGTGGAGCCCGCCAGGTCCGCGAGGCCGTTGAAGAACATGGAGAAGCTGAAGAGGTAGACGGAGTAGGGCCGCACCTTCCCGAGCCCCGCCACAAAGCCCGCAGCCGGCCGCGCGAAGATGTCGATGAAGCCCAGGATGGTGAGCAGGAAGGCCGCCTTGGTGTCGGGCACACCCAGGTCCTTGGCGTAGCTCACCACAAACACGGGCGGCACAAAGAGCCCCAGCACCATGACTGAGGCAGCCACGGCGTACAGCACAAAGCCTCGGTCCCGGAAGACGCTCAGGTCCAGCAGGTGCCGGGAGGGTCGCTGCGGCCCCGAGCCCCCACCCGGCTGGGCCACGGCCACGAGGGGCCTCATGAGTGCGGCACACACGCAGCAGTTGAGCAGCAGGCCTCCCAGGATGAGGAAGCCGCCCCGCCAGCCATAGTGGTCCTGCAGCAGCTGCCCCAGCGGGCTCAGGGCGCACAGGAAGACGGGGCTGCCTGCCGCCGCCAGCCCGTTAGCCATGGGGCGCCGCTTGCTGAAGTAGCGGTTCAGCATGATGAGCGAGGGCTGGAAGTTGAGCGCCAAACCCAACCCTGGAGGAAAGGGAATGGGGTGAGAGCCCCCCCAGGGCAGCCCCCAAAGCCCAAGACCCTCGTCTCTGCCCCCAGGGCTCCCACTGTGCAGAGGCCCTGCCACCCACACACTCAAGAAGGGGACAGTGAGGTGAAGCCAGACACCCCGCAGCCACCTGCCCTGCTGTCCTCCAGAGACCAGGACAAGCAGCACAAGGGCACAGCCCCGCCCCCTCCTGGCACCTGCGGCCCCACTCACCAGTGATGACCCCAGTGGTGAGGTAGACCTGGATGATGCTCCTGCAGAAGGACGAAGCCACCATGCCCAGGGACGCGAAGAGGCCCCCCACAAGCATGACGGGCCGGCAGCCAAAGCGGTTCACACACACGCTGCAGAGCGGGCCTGCGGAGGGCGGCAGCTGAGGGGGCGGGCCCAGGCCTGCAGCTGGCCTCCCCTGCCCACGCCACCCCTCCCTCGGCGGGATGCTAGGGGCACCCTGTGGCTGGCTCCCCAAGCACAGAGCTAATAACACGAGCGCTGCCCGCTGGGCCGCACTGGTCCTGCAGTCAGGAACAGACATCTTTTCAAGAACGGCTGTTGGAGCCCTGTCCTCTTGGACTGTCTATAAATACAGCCAACACGTTTGGACGGGGGCCAGGATGGACTTCACCCTGCCGCTGCCCAGCAGGATCGCAGCCCCAAGGGCTTCCCTCCAGGGTTCCCTGGGGAGCGGGTGGAAGGCGCTGTGCCAAGCCCAGCCACACATGGACTCCTGTGCCTGGCAGGATCTGCCAGCAGAGCCCCAGATGGGGGGGGGGTCTGGTGTGAGGCCGCCCTCACCTGTCCCGTAGAGCATGGCCAGCAGGATGGAGGAGATCCAGGCTGTGTCGCTGTAGCCGATCCCAAACTCCTGCATCAGCCCCTTGAAGAAGACACTGACGGCCTTGGGGAAGGCGTAGGAGAAGCCGGTGATGACGAAGCAGCCGAAGAGCACAGCCCAGCCCCAGCCGCCGTCGGGGGCCTTGACGCCCGTCGGGCCGTCGTCCACCACAGCCCCTCCCATGGCCAGGAGGGCTGGTTCCGCCTCACCTGAGAGAGAAAGCAGGCTGACTCAGGCTGCCCGGGTTACTACCCCCAAGTGCAGCCCGGCAGGGGAGGGACACGAGCGGGGTGCCACACACACCTGGGGCTGGCACCTGGGCCAGACGCCCCAGGAGCTCAGCCGTGGGGCAGCTGCCCAGCACCCACACTAGTGGCCCCCTGACCTGCTGCTTGATGCAGGCAGGAGGGTTTGCAGGGAGGCCAGCAATTGGGGGTCCCAGTCCACCCACCTCCATCCGCACCGCCTCCTGCACCCACACAGCTGGCTCTAAAGGGCAGTGGCTTTTTTGGGCTCAGCCATGACTCAGATTACCTCCCGGGGTGAGCAGCCCCCGGCAGGAACGTGGGTCTGGCCGTCATTTCTGCCCTGGCCCATTCTCCTGGCTGACCCGTGCTGAGCAGGGGCCTCGCACAGTGATTCTGGCAGCAGCCTGCACCTTCAGTCCCCAGCACCAAGCTTGCCCTGGGGCCTCTGGAGGTGGTGTCCTCTAGGCCTCTCCCTGTCTAATTCTAGGTGGAGTGTGCCTTGCCCTGGCTCTTCTGCTCCCAAGGGCCCGCTTTGGCTTCTGTGGACCCCACCGGGAGCCTGCAGCAAGAGGAGGGGCAGTTGCTGGCTGGGAGAGCCTGGGCGCCTGGCCGGAGGGGACAGTTAGCAGCACAGGGGCTGCAGTATTAGAGGAGGTGGGGTGGGGAAGTGGGGCAGAGCCAGCCTCGTGTCCCTGGAGGGCCCCTTGCCTCCCACTGGCGTGCTTGCTCAGTGACTCCTCCAGTGGGAAGAGGCTCACTCCACCTCTGCCTGGAGTGACCGACAGGCTGCAGCTTGAACTCACTCAGGAATGTCTGCAGCCTCCATGGGAGGCAGGGGCCAGAGAGGCTTCCATCCATCCCACCAGAGCAAACCACAGCAGCCCCCATGTCTGAAGCTGGCATCACTTCTGTAAACGCCAGGAGCTTAGCGCGTGTGGGGGAGAGTGAAGTTGGGACCCAGGGCCAGACTTCCATCTTCATGCGCCCCCCTACCAAGAAGTCACCTGCCTCCCTCCTCACCAAGGACTGCAACCCAAGGCCTTGAGTGGTCTAGTCCAGCCAGCTTGGCTTCTCCCTCCGGGGGCCATACTGTGAACCAGCGCCCCAGGAGGCAGCAGCAGGCCTGTGGGGCAAGCTCCACCACCACCCCCTTTCCTTGGATTCCTCCTGCAAGCGTGTCCACAGCTCCCTAACCTGGTGGGTCCCACCTGGACAGCCTGCCTTTGTCTCTAACGCCGACACATAACTAGAGGCCGGACCCGCACAAGGGCAAGGACCTTTGCTGGGTGAGTTTCAGTTCTGTGCCTGCTCCTCCTCCTCTGGGCCGTCCCCAAATCCAGCTTGCTGGACCGGCCCCACCACAGGTGCTGTGCCCCTTGGAGTCCCTGCTTCAGAGGTCTGAGGATGGTCTTTAAGGGCTCCCCAAGTGTTCCACGCCGTCACTGTCACTGGGAAATGCCGCTTGACGAGGGGAGCCAGCTGTGGCTGGATGATCACATGCTGCCCACTGCAACGGAACAGGCCCTCCCCAGAGGCCCACCCCCGGAGCCTGTGCTGGCTCCCTGGGGCCAAGGCCTTGGGACCATTTCTGGGAAACCCAGGAGCACCTTTTGTTCCTGCCTGCACCTGGGCACCGGATGCCCCACCACAGTGCCTGAGACAGGACACTGCCTGGGGTCCCTCAGCAGCAGGCTAGGTCCTGCTCATACTGGCATCAAGTTTAAAAGGTCCCTAAGATGACACTACATAGCAGAGTAACTACAAGATGCTAAAAATACATGCACTTGAGGAATGAAACAGGAACAGGATGCAGAATGCGGGCCATGGGGAGACAGGAGGGATTGACGGCCTCAGGTCCCAGCTTGTTTGGGATTGTGGGTTTACACTTTTTAAAATACATCAAACGGACCATGCAAGGCCAAGGAAGGAAATGTATATACAACAAATAGAAACAGATTCCGCATACCCCAGGGTCCCCTCCAAAAACAAGCACCAGGGTCTCTGAGTCTACCTGGGCTGTACCAGCGGGGGCAGGGGACGCAGGCAAACCCAGCATTCGATGCCCGCCAGCGTCCTCAGGAGATAGACGAGGGCGCATGGGGAGGCAGGGGATGACGGCCACCCTCAGGATATGTGGTGCCCCCTGGACTAGGGTCAAGGAGGGCTGGCAGACGGTTGGGGCAGTGCCAGGGCTCACTGGCCAGGAGAGCACAGCATGTTCTGGGACCTGAGGAGCTTGTGGCTTCCACGTGACGCTCACGTGGGGAGGGCCATCTTCTGTGTCAAGGAGATGAGGCATTTGGACAAGAAGCTTCCACACCACAGCCTGGCACTGTCATCTGTCCTCACCCAGGCTGGGGTGCCAGTCACCCAGACTGAAATGGCTCCATGAGTTCTGACTCCAGCCTGTCGTCCAGGGGCTGACTTTGAGCCAGCTGTGCCCACACAGCTTGGGGCAGGGGATTCCACAGGAGATACAGTAGGGGAAGGGGCACGAAACGACAGTCCACAGTCCCCGTCTCCCAGGATAACCCCAGCATCACGATGGACTGAGGTGCAGGCTGGCTGAGGTTCCAAGGACAGCCCTGGGGCTGCACTGCCTGGAGCCACACCACAGCCACCAAGCATTGGCTTCTCTGTGGGCACACACTACAGGCTGGCCTTCCCCTGACATTTACTGTCGCCCCCCCCACCGCGCTCCCAGGAAGCATGCCAACCCACCCAGAAATAACCTGGCCCCTGGGCTGAGAAAGCTGATCTCCCAGGTGGGGTTGCCTGGAGAGCTGGTCCCCAAAGGCCCCACAACTCCGGGCTGCTAAAGCTGAGCAGGGAGGTCTGGGGCAGGGGTGCGTGGGGAGGACCCTTCCAGGAGACCCCCACATCCCAGAGCCATGTGCCCTCATGATTCCAGCCCTCGTGAGTCCTCATGAGCAAGCAGTTCCCTCAAGGGTCCAGGGCACAGGGGTCTCAAACCTGGCCCCCTGGTTTGGGGCCAGGACTCAGCCATGAAGCCCTCAGGACCTGGGCGCCTGCCAGGTTGGACCCCTGCACTGCCCGGTCACCAGCCTGGAAGGCTTGGAAGACCATGCCAGGTCCTGCAGGATCTATGGCAACACACATACAGAAAGGGTCTCGAACCTGAGCCCAGCTGCCCAGCTGGCTCCTCCAGGCCTCTCCAGAAACCCCACTCACCTCCTTGGGAGCACTGGGCACCCTGGACCTGCAGACCCCTCACCCGCTTAGGTCCTCAGGTCGAGCAGCACCACCACCTCGTTGAGGCCTCCGCTGGACTGTCGGCCCGTTGTCTGGGTCTGGGCAGTGGCCTGTTACCTAACTGACTCCAGCCTTTGAAGGATGGGCCTTGGCCCTGCCTTTGTGGCCCAGGCAGGAGGCGGGGCAGGAATAGGGCAATTTCTTTCCTTCCTGGATCCCTGGGAGCTGCCCAGGACCAAGGAAGCAGCCCCCTCCCCCACCCTTTGGTTAGCTTGGGGTTGGCAAGGGGTTCCAGGAGGGCAGGAGGGCGCTGCACCCAGGGAGGGGCCTCCCTGAGTTGTTCTTCCCCTTGTGCAAACCAGGAAGGAGCACCAGCCCCTCCCTGCAGCCCAGGCCCAGCCATCTGCAAAGGTGTTGGGGGCCGGGGTGTCAGGGAGTGGACGCTGGACAAGGGGCTGCCCAGGCCTGAGCCCTGTTCCCCGTCTCAGACTCCCGCGCATGCCTGTGCCGACACCGTGTCCACTCACATCATCATCGCAGGGCCCGGTGGGGCAGACACACAGGCCTCATTTGCAGATTGGCCACTTCCACCCAGGACCAGGAGCCCCCCAACTGGTGCCCCAAGGGTTGCTGGGCACAAGTCCCACGTGGAAAATGGAGGCTGCCTGCTCCACAGCAGGCTTCATCCCTGAGCTGCCACTGCGGGGTCTTAGAGCTTGGAACTCGCTTCTCTGCAAGCTGAGGTCACCGCCCTGGGGCCGGGAGGCGGTGGGAGCCAGAGCTGGTCCAGAGCCGCCGTCCCCCACGTCGGAGGCCTCATGGACCCCGCAAGGCCGCCCCTCCGCGAAGCCACGTCGTCCTATTCCTGGACTCTCGTGCACCCCCGTGCACCCCTCCACCCTAAAGCCGGTGTCCGGAAGCCCAGCCTGGAGGGGAACTCGGGTCAGGAGGCTCCCCCGCCATGGCCTCCCAGCAGGCGTCGTGGGGACCCGTGGGGAGGAGTGACGCGGGGGAGGCAGGAAGGCGGGTGGCGGGGACGGAGGGGGAGCCCAGAGCTCCACCCTCGCTAGGAAAGGCCCCTCCTCGGTGCGCCCCTGACCGGGCTGGACGATTGCCTGACGGCTCTGGCTTCCGGGCTCGGCGGGCAGGGGTCGGCGCTTGTGGGGGAGGCTGGGCGGAGCCCACCGGGGAAGGAGAAGGGGGACAGGAGGATGCTCCGCCCGGACCCGCCCCGCCGGCCGCGGGACGTGGGGGACGTGACCGCGCCATAGGAGGAGCCGCCGTATTGCCCGCAGTAGGCGCCCTGCCGGACGCTACCGTAATTGCGGGCGCGCGGGTCCACCCGGGTCAGCGGAGCCTGGGAGCCGCGCCAGGCGTCGGGCCTCGAAGCCACAGGGCGGGGCCGGCTCCACTTGCTGCAGAGGTGGGACGAGTGGGCGCGGCTCGGGGCTCGGGGACTTTGACTCGTGAATTCCGAGTCTCGGGGCAGGGGCCCGGCCGTTCTGTGCGTGCGGCTGCCCGGAGCGGCCCATTTCACAGATGGGGCTGACTCGGGCAGGAGAAGCCGTGAGGACGCCCCGAGCCCTGTCTACTCCCGCCCCGCCCCTGCGCCAGGGCCTGGGCACCTCCAATGGCTCTGCGCCACTGCCGAGAAGGCCCCCCACTGGGGCCCAGAGTGTAGACCACATTTGGCTCTTCACTCGAGGGAGTGGCACTGGCCTTTCCGCCCCATGTGGCCAGGTCACCCCAGGACCCACCACTAAGCCAGCCCTCAAAGTCACTGGGGCCACATGGCTTTCTGGGTGGCCTGGATGGCGGGCCCTGCCCAAGGTCACATGGGGTCGTTACCAAGCTTGTCTTGGGACCAGGCCTCTAGATTCCTACTCCAAGCCCTGTCCACACCACGGAGTCCTGGGGAAAGACCCTGCACCTGCCAAGACAGTGTTCCTATGTACTCAGAGCCTCGCTGGGGGCAGAAACCCCCCATGGCGTCCTAGCACCCCTCTCCCAGTTCCTGCCCGCCATGAGGGAGCGCAGCCGAGCCGCCACACCAAGCTGGGGGAGCTGTTCCTGTCCCTCTCAGCACGTTCAGGCCAACACCCACCTGACTTCCCAGGCCTGTGCAGTGAAGCTGGGACCCTGGGCTCCCCAGCCCCAAAAGACACAAGACCACCCACCCTTGTGCTCAGTGTAGAGAAGACCCTGGGCCCTGAGGTGGGGCCAACTGGCATTTCCCCTACTCAGCAGGCCTGACTCTGGCCAGGAGAGGGACCCTTTCAGCCCAGGCTTCCTGGCCACGCAGCTCGGTGCCTCTAGGACAGAGAGGAGGACGGCGGCCCGACGCTGCCCCGTCGTTCCTCACTGACTGCAGCCGCCCGCGGTAGCCCTGGCCAGAGCCAAGGCTTCCCTTCCACTCTGCGGCCCCTGTCCCTTGACGGGCCCAACACCCGAGGAGGCGCCTGAGCAACCCACTTTTAGGATAGGGAAACTGAGGCAAGGGTTAGGAAGTGGGAGGCTACCGAAGGCCGCTCCTGGTTTTCCCACGAGCTGGGGACAAGGGGCGGGAGGTAGGGCGAACCCAGGGAGCCCAGCCTGGCTCTAGAAGGGCAACTTCCGTGCACCGCGCAGGCTGTTAGTCATTGCCCGAGGGCGGGCGTGGGTCGGTGAGTGTTTAGGGTGACGCAAACGGGGAAAGCGCCACGGCCCGAGCGCACGTGCTCCCCACTCCCTCGGGGAGGCCACCCCCACGGGGAGGGCTGCAGGAGCCCCGCCAAATATAGCCCGCGCCCCCCGCCGCCGCCGCCGCGGACCGAGCTATTTATACCCGGACCGGGCTTGGCCGCTGGCGCAGCCACCTCCGGGCCGGAGCCCAGCCCCTGAAGCCGCCCGACGGGTGGGCGCCGGGCCGGACCCGGGAAGGCCAGACTTCGCAGGGATGCGAGGGCGCGGAGGGGCGCGGCTGGCTCTGGGTGGGGGCCGCAGGGGGCGGGAAAGCTAGTCCATGCCCCGGGCGCCCCCGGACCTGACGGGCGAAGTTGGGGCGGGGTGAGAGCGCGGACCCAGAAGCCACCCCCTTGCCGGGCACTGGCTTGGCGCCCCGGGCGGCTCAGAAGCTCCTGGGCCCCGACCCGCGCGCCGAGCATCCGGGCCGCGCCTACCTGCCGCCGCTGGGCCGCCGCGCCCGCCTCTGCCGCCTCTGCCGCCCGGCTCCGCGCCGGGGGCGACTTTAAGTGTTCGGTCGCTCGCGCGGCACGTCCCCCGCGCACGTCACCGCCTGGCGCCGCCCCTGCGCGCCCCGCCCGGACCCCGAGCCGCCGCCGGGGGGGTTCCCGGGCCGCAGCTCCCCGACGGCGCGTCCCGCAACCCCCGCCGAGCCCCAAGATCCCCCCACCCGGAACCGGCCCCGTTCGCCCCCCCCGCCCAGAGCTGCGCTTCTAGCCGGGCCAGACCCGCCCCCTCCGCACCCCGCGACTGGGGCCACCCGGCCTCGCCCGCCCCCGGCGCTGGGATGGGCGTCCAGGCTCGCGTCGCCCTCGCGTCCCTCCGCTTCCCCTCCCAAGACCGCGGATGCAGAGTACCCCGGCTCGGAGCGGAGCGCCACCCCTGGCCCCCCAACGCCGGAGCCCCTGTGACTGGGGGGTGCCGGCGCCTCGCTCAGCTCTGGGGCCTGGGTCCTCCTCGCTGAGGCCACGGTCCGACCTGCCCCGTCCAGACCTCCGCCTCCCCCCGGGGCGCGGCCTCTGCTGCCGGGATTCGGGGCGAGGCCTCGCCCTCCCTGAACTTCCGTTTCCCCGGGTGGCTCCGCGCCCGGCGGGGCCCCACGAGGCCGCCCACTCAGCCCTGCGCAGAACCGGGCGCAGAGGCCGCGCGCTCGCATCCGGAGAGGCGAGGGCTGCGGACCCGCCGGCCCGGGAGGCGCTTCTCCCAGCCCGTTACACGGAATAACGGGGCGCTCCTGGCGCCGGCGTCCGAGGCAGCTCCGGGGCGCGAGGCCTTTGCTGGCCTGGACCGGGGCCGCCAGTTGCCGCCCGCGGGACGCTTTCCCTGTCCCGGCCCCTCGGGCCCGCCTGGGGCTCCTGCGGCCGCCGCGCGTTTGAGGGGAGCTTCTCCCTTTCCGGGCCCGCGAGGGGCACAGTTTTGGGGGCGGGAACCCAGCGCTGCGCCCCCGCCCATCTCCCCATCCGGGGGGTTTAACGGTTTCTGTTTAAATTTCGCGGGCGCGGGAAAAAACGAAGACTCAGTCGCTCCGGCGGAGGTTTAAAAGATCTCCTTCCCCTGGCCGGGGCCTTGGGAAGGCGGGGGTCCTCCCAGGTCGGGCGCCCCCTTTTTCGCACCCCTCGGACTCCATGTTGGGTCCCTTCGGGAGCGCTCCCTTCGTGACGCCGTCTTTCCCTCCCCGGGACTTCCCTCGGGTCCCGCCGCCCCCGTGGCAGCCGGTCCCCCCGACGCCGTCCCGGTTCCCTCCGCGCAGTGCGGAGGCCGCTCTCCGCCCGGGACCCCCTTTCCGGCTCCTCCGTGTGACACGTGGCGGCTGCTCCTCCCGTTTCTCTCCGAATCGCTTTCTGCAAACGCCCTGTGTCCGGTCCGCTCTCAGGAGACCAGGAACCTGGGGAGGCACCCTCGGGGGAGCTGCGGGCCCCCGAACCCCAGTGTGACCCCTTCACACAAAGGAGGCAGCGGGCATCGGCGGAGGACCCTCCGGAGGGCAGGCGGAGGCCGTGCGGGCCGCGGCGTCCCCACCTGCAGCGCAGCCCTCCGGGCGCCCAGCCCAACAGGGCCGCGGTCCTTTCAGTGTCATGTTATGAGCGCGCCCACGATGGCGGCATCGCCAAAAGCTGAGAAACATGAACATGAGAGCACGTGCCGCTGAGCAGAACCCAGGCCTGTGGCAAGTGGTGAGGAAACGGCCCCCCTTGACGCCCGCCCGCTGAGGGGTCTTCGGACTTCGTGGATGAACGCCCCACGTGGTGGGCCCGTGCTCCCGCCCAGGGCAGGTGGCGCTCCCGTCTTCTCCCACCAGGCGATTCGTCACTTTCCACGGAGGCTGGGGGCACAGCAGTGACGGAGAACAGCCGAGGGGCGTGGGACACCCCGGACAGCTGTGGGGAGGGGTCCCCCACGAGGCACTGCCGGCCGGGGAGGCGGGGGCACCGCGCTCCTGATCCCAGACTGTTGAGTCACCAGGCCTGCCAGCTGGGCTTGGGGCCCCTACTGAAGCCACCAAAACAGGGGAGGGAGACAGAGCGGGAGAGCCTGGGGCGTCACTGCCCCCTCCTGCCTCCTGAAGTACAAAGGGGCGGCGCTGCCAGAGCCATGTCTTCTCCCAGCTGGGAAGATGCCCACTCATCCCTCCAGGGGACCCAGGGAGCACCTGGGTTTGGCCATGAGCCCCAGGCCTGGCACCTCCTTAGGCATGGCTTCCCCTGGCTGTGGGCCCCGGACTGCCCACCCAGAGCTGGGTGGAGCCTCCCTGCCCTCAGGGAACGGAGCACACAGGCCAGTCGGCACTGGCTCCCAGCAGAAGTCGAGTCTGTGGGCTTTGACCAGGATGGGACTGGGAGATCCAGGAGTGCGTGGAGTGACGGCTGCCGGGGCTGAGGCTGGGGGCCTGCGCTGGAAACCAGGTTGTTACCCAGAGGAGAGGCGCAGAGCCGCTAGCAAGCAGGCCACCTGGGACAGGGCCCTGTGAGGTGGGCCCAGAGCCTCCGAGTCCCTCTCCCAGGATTCTGGCTCTCTGGTAGCATGAGGTACCCCTGACCTCCAAGTGCTCAGCTTTCAGAAAGACCCAGCAGCTGTTTTGGGGGAGAGGGCTCCAGGCCTGGCACCAGGGCCCAGGTGGCCAGTCTCCATCTGACACACAGCTCCATGGGCACCTGGGCACTGAATACCACTCAGGTTTCGGGTAAGGTGCCTTCCGGGGAGCATGCTCCTCCCTCAACAACCCTGGATGTGTCAGAGACAGCAATCGTGCAGCAGGAGAGAGACACCTCTGCCCATGATGCCATCCCCCTGGCCTCTGGGGGTCTGGAGCTGCAGGGAGGGGTGGGAAGGCCCGTGTGTGTTCGAAACTCTGCAGCTCCTCTCTGGGTAGTGCTGGGCGCATCCAGCCCAGACCTGGCCCCAGTGCCTGCTCCCCCACAGTGGCCCTGGGTCAGCCCCTAGGCTCAGGCTGCCTTTTTCTGCAGGAAATGAGGTGGGGGAGTGGACAGGTGGCACCATCCCTGGCCAGTGAGCGGCTTCACAGGGCGGCCCCGCTGTGACCCCACTGCTCCCAGCCCTGACCTCTCCCCCAACCTCAGGTGCCCCCACCTGCCCCAGCCTCCTTTCGTTCCCAGATCCAGGCCTGGCCCTCAGGTCCTTCCCACCCTGCTACCTGGAAGGCTTAAGCTCCCTGGGGCACGTGGTCCCACTTTTTCCAAGAGCAACCTTTGTGGGAGGGGCGGGCGTGAAGGGAGGCTGTTTCCTCCCCCATCGGCTGCCCCGAGGGTCCCATCTCCAGTCAGAGTGGGAGCCAGGCCCTACCTCTGTGTCCTGACATGGCACAGAGATGTGGAGAGGCTTTTCTGAGGGTCACCGTGGCTGCTGCCCCAGGGACGGTGGCAGAACAGGCCCCCACTCCTACTGGGGGCAGATCTTGAGTCCCAGGGAACCTTCCAGGGCCGGGGGAGCCACACGGAGCCCACATCCTGTGTGCTTGGGAACCCACACAACGTTTTCCAGATCCTAATAGGGCCACCCTGTCCTGCCCCAGTGCTGGCTGTACCACCCAGCGCCAGTTGCAGCCCCGTGGACAGGATTGGGGCCAGGACTGGCTGGGTCAGGGGAAGAAAGCCGAGTCACGGGAAAGGACATTCCGGCAGAGCCACGGCCCCGCCTCCCTGGGGTCCTGGGCCGCTGGGCTCCTGACCTTGCCTGCCTAGTGCTCCCTGCCCAGAGGATCTGGTGACAACCGCCACAGCCTGTCACTCCACACCTGTGGCCACACCCTCCCCCAGACTCCAGACCTGCGAGGGGCATGTGGTGGGACAAGCCCAGGTTGGATGGGAGACGCAGCCAGGGCGGTGCCAGGGGAAGCTGACACCCTCCACCACGCAGAGCCTAAACCGGGGACCAGGGCTGGGGCCCAAATCAGTGCCTTCCCTTCATTCCCTTACCCCAGATCCTTCGTATTAAAACCTGTCCAGGGTTGCCCAGGCGTGGTGGCTCACGCCTATAATCCCAGCACTTTGGAAGGCTGAGTTGGGCAGATCATGCATGAGGTCAGGAGTTTGTGACCAGCCTGGCCAACATGGTGAAACCCCATCTCTACAAAAAAAAAAAAAAAAAAAAAAAAAAATCTGTCCAGTGAGTGGCAGCAGAGGCAGGAGGCAGACGTGGAAAGGGCAGGAGAGGCTGCACCTTGGGGGCCTGACCTGCAACTCTGCTGCCTGTGGAGTGTCTGCATGGGTGTAGGGGTGTGTCTGCATGGGTGTAGGGGTGTGTCTGCATGGGTGCCTCTGTGCACAGGTGTAGGGGTGTGTCTGCATGGGTGCCTCTGTGCACAGGTGTAGCGGTGTGTCTGCATGGGTGTCTCTGTGCACAGTAGGGGTCTGTCTGCATGGGTGTAGGGGTCCATCTGCATGGGTGTAGAGGTGTGTCTGCATGGGTGCCTCTGTGCACAGGGGTAGGGGTGCGTCTGCACAGGTGTGTCTGCACAGGTGTAGGGGTCTGTCTGCATGGGTGTAGGAGTTCATCTGCACGGGTGTGTGTGCACAGGTGCCTCTGTGCACAGATGTAGGGGTGTGTCTGCATGAGTGTAGGGGTGTGTCTGCATGGGTGTAGGGGTGTGTCTGCATGAGTGTAGGGGTGTGTCTGCATGAGTGTAGGGGTGTGTGCACAGGTGCCTCTGTGCACAGGTGTAGGGGTGTGTCTGCATGGGTGTAGTGGTGCATCTGCACGGGTGCCTCTGTGCACAGGTGTAGGGGTGCATCTGCACAGGTGTTGGGGTGTAGGTGTGCATGGTCTGATGGGAGCAGCTGTCATGGGCCTGCCAGGTCTTCTCCTTGATGTCCTCAGCAACCTCATGCTCTGTCACTGGGAGACAGAACTGAGAGGGGTCAATGCTGCTGGAACATTCAGAACTAATGCCTGTTGGAGCCCGGGCAGTCATTCCAGGAATGTGGTCGAGTGGGGAAAGAAAAACGTATGGAGGCCTCTCCAGACCTCAGTCTCTTGCCCTGTGAAGTTGGGCCCAGCAAAGCTCACCTGGTGGCTCTTGGGAGGGTTTAAAACTCTATCCTTCTCACCTGTTAGGTGCATCCTCCCCTCCTGGCCACCCCTGAAAACATCCCACGGACCTTCCAGAACCCCATTGAGAAACCGGGTTTTCTTCCATCC